ACATACGTTGTAGAGCACACATTGTAGAGCGCACATACATTGTAGAGCGCACATACATTGTAGAGCACACATACATTGTAGAGCACACATACATCGTAGAGCGCACATACATCGTAGAGCACACATACATTGCAGAGCACACATACATTGTAGAGCGCACATACATCGCAGAGCACACATACATTGTAGAGCGCACATACGTTGTAGAGCGCACATACATTGTAGAGCGCACATACATCGTAGAGCACACATACATTGTAGAGCGCACATACGTTGTAGAGCACACATTGTAGAGCGCACATACATTGTAGAGCGCACATACATTGTAGAGCGCACATACATTGTAGAGCGCACATACATTGTAGAGCGCACATACATTGTAGAGCGCACATACATCGTAGAGCACGCACACATACGTTGTAGAGCACACATACGTTGTAGAGCACACATACATCGTAGAGCACGCACACATACATTGTAGAGCGCACATACGTTGTAGAGCACACATACATTGTAGAGAGCACATACGTTGTAGAGCACACATACATTGTAGAGCACACATACATTGTAGCGCACACATACGTTGTAGAGCACACATACATTGTAGAGCACACATACATTGTAGCGCACACATACGTTGTAGAGCACACATACATTGTCGAGCGCACATACATCGTAGAGCACGCACACATACGTTGTAGAGCACACATACATTGTAGAGCGCACATACATTGTAGAGCACACATACATTGTAGAGCGCACATACATCGTAGAGCACACATACATTGCAGAGCACACATACATTGTAGAGCGCACATACATCGCAGAGCACACATACATTGTAGAGCGCACATACATTGTAGAGCGCACATACATTGTAGAGCGCACATACATCGTAGAGCACGCACACATACGTTGTAGAGCACACATACGTTGTAGAGCACACATACATTGTAGAGCGCACATACATTGTAGAGCGCACATACATTGTTGAGCGCACATACGTTGCAGAGCACACATACATTGTAGAGAGCACATACGTTGTAGAGCACACATACATTGTAGGGCACACATACATTGTAGCGCACACATACGTTGTAGAGCACACATACATTGTAGAGCACACATACATTGTAGCGCACACATACGTTGTAGAGCACACATACATTGTCGAGCGCACATACATCGTAGAGCACGCACACATACGTTGTAGAGCACACATACATTGTAGAGCGCACATACATTGTAGAGCACACATACATTGTAGGGCGCACATATATTGTAGAGCGCACATACATTGTAGAGCACACATACATTGCACAGCACACATATATTGTAGAGCACACATACGTTGTAGAGCACACATACATTGTAGAGCACACATACATTGTAGAGCGCACTTACATTGTAGAGCACGATGCAGACGAAGCAGTTGAGGGGGATGCGGAAGAAGTTCATGATGGTGGCGCGCGCCTCCTCGGGGATGAACTGCGAGCGCATCTTCATGATGGACGGCCAGAACACGCCCACACACACCTCAAACACACAGAACCCCACCAGCTGCACCCGCCCCCCCGGCGTGATGCCCCCCCCGTCCGGCGCCACCGGCTCCAACACAAACTGCACCCGGGGCGGCAGGATGGGCGGCATGATGGGCAGTGGGATGGGTGGAGGGATGGGCAGTAAGGCAAATAAAGCACAAGATACAACAGTGAGATGGCTGGAAATACGCAGGGAGTGGTGATGCGGCAGAAAGGAGTCGTTGGGATGTGTTAGCGGTGCAACGGGGAGACGAATGGGAAACTTTGGGTTCAGCTAGCACATGGATAGAAGAATCCGTTGAATATGGGAAGTCAAAAATAAACAACAATAAGTGAAGGCAATGAGTGAGCGGTGTATCACACAGGGCCAGTGCAGAGCGAGCACAGGAGAGAGATACATGGGGGGAGGGTTGAGGAAGCAGGAGGGGCGCAGAGGAGCAGAGCACTGACGAAGGCGAAGAGCGGGACGAGGAGGGAGAGGGAGGAGACGGCGAAGACGATCTGCATGTAGAGTTCCACGCGCAGAGAGGGGCGCGCCATGAGGCGGGCGGCGAGGGAGGAGCCGGTCATGGAGGCGAGCATGAAAATGGCGAAGATGAAGCCGTGCGGTATGCGCTGGTCCGAGGGGGCGAGGGCGGGCGTCCAGAGGAACACAAAGGTGTACATGCTGCCCTCAAACAGCGACTGGATGGCCCCCAGCAGCGCTATCTTCTCGTCTGCCACACACATGGCACGCATGGCAGAGAGGAAGCACTGGGAAACAGATACATCCTGCAAATGTCAAGAGCTATTGCGGCATCCAGACAGGAGCATGTTTGGTGCACAATGTGCCTGCTGGGAAAAAGATATAAATTCGTCCGGATTGACAATGCCAGAGGGGTTCAAGAAACAACCTGCAATGAGCCGTGACATACACGGGTAACACAGAAGAGAGGAGTAAGGAAGTGCGATTGATATTGCAGTGATGGCATGCGTGAGAACCCCTGGGATCCCTGCCAGAGGGCCATTGCAATGCACTGTGCACTCCCGGTCCCACAGCGTGTTGAGTCATCCCACCCGAGGTCAGGCTGGCAGCTCGTTGGCCTGCCACGCCCAAGCCACCCCAGTGGTGCTGTGCTGGTCACTTCAACTGTACTTCACAGCCTGCTCGCCCCGAGCCTGCATGCTCAGCCTCACGCGGCGCGCCAAGCTTCTGAGCCTCTGAACAACGTTTTAATCGTTGGAGCATGGCCCCGATCTCACATGAGGGTTGGATGTTACAACACTATCCCAACCTTTTTCGAATGTGATAACCAAACTCCCCAACCCACGGAGTAGGCATTTCAGCCAATCTTACTGAGACTTGCCTTAACCTTCCAACCCGTCCTTCTAAACTCACAAGAGATTTAAAGAAAGAGCCTTAAGCTCTACCTCGACTTCCCACTCCAAGGACTTCCTCTTCATCCTCCCCTCTCCGTCACATCCTGCAAAATCCATGTCCCATGCCCGCATCTTCATCTTTCTCCACCATCTCGCTCGCACGGATGCTAGCCATAGAATCCCATACCACAACCACCCTTGCGAAATTTTATATCTCGAGAAGATCAATGAGGGCACTAGGAGAGACCCATGGGAGCATTGCGACTGACTCAACGCTCTGCTTGCACAAGCACGACCATAATCCCGCTCACAATGGCTGTCCAGTCGAGTAGCTACGTCTTTCTCCCCCCCCCCAGCCCACCTGAGGCGATGGCATGCAGCGCACCTGAGGCGATGGCATGCAGCCCACCTGAGGCGATGGCATGCAGCGCACCTGCTTGCACAAGCACGACCATAATCCCGCTCACAATGGCTGTCCAGTCGAGTAGCTACTACCTACGTCTTTCTCTCCCCCCCAGCCCACCTGAGGCGATGGCAGCCCACCTGAGGCGATGGCAGCCCACCTGAACTGTTGTCCCCAAACTCGCCGCAGCGAGGATTTCCCGTGCGGGTCAGAGTCTAGGTTGACATTCTCAAGGCATACAAGTAACACTCGTTCAGTAGAACAGATTGTGGTCTGAAGAAGGCTAGCACTGGAACCTGTTACCACCGATTTTTTACACAAAAATTTTCAACAAAGTACTGCCAATAACCAGAGGTGTTGAGATCCTAAGTTGCTGCCACGTATCTACTCAATGGCGCCTAGCTGGTGTCCTCGCCCACCTGAGGCGATGGCGGTGGCAGCGGCGTGGAACTGGGCGAGGAGCCCCTTGGAGTCGGTGGTGTCGCCGTAGTTCTCCGGCCACGTGGCCGCGATGATGGCGCCACCCACCAGCAGCACGAGGGCCGCGGCGTCAAAGGGGGCCACGGGGCCGAGGGCGAGCGACGTGACGAGCGAGTTGGCGAGCAGCCCCGACAGGATGGCCACCAGCCCGTTGCCCAGCCAGATGGCCTTGGAGAACGTCACTGACAGCCACTGCGCCTCGAAGCCCCGCTGCCGGAGGGGTTGGGTGGGAAGGTGGGAGAGGACGGAGGTGAGACAAGAAACGGGATGCAGAAGGGCGTGGAGTGGGCGGGCAAGCTCAAAGAGCCGCACAGCAATCCCTTTCTGTGTACCTTGAAGTGCTCTGCAACGAGCCAGCTCTCGAAGGCGGAGAAGAGCAGCGAGGTGGCGATGCCGCCCAGCACGCGGCCCAGCATGAGCAGGCGGTAGTCGGGCGAGTGCTTGGTGAGGCACGACAGCACGTACACCCCACAGTACGTCAGCGATGCGCGCCGCCGCCCACTGCTCGCTCACACGCCAGCCATGCAGGTGCCGGGGAGGGGAGGGGGAGGGCATGTGATTGTGTGCGCGTGTGCGAGTGAGAACGTCAGAGAGAGAGGGAGCAAGAAGGGGGGGTGGGGTTGGTTGACGCTGGGGTGGGTAGGAAGGTGGTATGATTGTCTTGCATGTGTTTGCATCTACCTTGTAATATCCTATAATGAATACAAGGAGCGATCGAGGGAACAAGAGGGAAGAGGGAGGGGCACGGAGAGTGCAAGGCGCAACCCCGCCTGTACAGTCTAGTGCTGTGACACATGACTTCTGCACAGCCTCACTCAGTAACGCCTGCCAAATGCACAATGCTCACTGCTTATCAGCGAGTGAGCCCACGATGGTGCCGAAGACCATGGAGGAGGCGAAGCCGGCGATGAAGAGGCGGCCGATGTCGCCCTTGTCGTACCCGTAGTGCTGGTACAGCGCGTACACGTACGGGCCCTGCAACCAGTCGCCCGCTGCCACGGCCGCAGGGTGTATGGTGGAAGGAGGAGGGCGAGAGCAGCCTTCACGGATCGATGCATGAAGGCGATGGCAATGCAAGAACGGGCAATGCGAGGAGAGGACGACGAAGAGATAGAGGGGCAGAATTGGGTAAGAACACACAAATATGCTTCATTTCATCCACGCCATCATCACGAATACTCGTTATAAGCCATATGAATACTCGTTATGAGCCATACCATAATATGGCATACTCGTTATAAGCCATACCCATCATGAGCGAGTAGACGAGGAGGTAGTTGTTCTTGAAGGACTGGAAGGCGGGCGACGTCTGCAGCTTGTCGCGCTGCCCCTTGCTGCCCTCCAGCCCCGCGCACAGCACCACCAGCGCGCCGAACACCGCCCAGAAAAACGCCTCCATGCCGCCGCCGCTGCCGCCCACTCTCTCTCCCCACAGTCCCCCTTCTTCCCGCCGGTCACACCCTCCTCACTCTCTCCTCTCTCTCTCTCTCTCTCCCTATCGCCCTTCCTCCTCGCCACTTCCGTCGTCTGTCGCTTGTCGTCCGTCGAGCGAGGAAGAGACGAGTGCGGCGGAGCGGTCACTTGTGCAGCCCGACAAATAAGCGCGGAAGCCGAGCGTGCGCACCAGATTGGCAGGTGCGCCAGATCTACCGCTTGCGGCGACGCCGCCCGTTTGTGTGAGCGGTTGGCGAAGGGTGCGGGGGTAGCAGGATGGCGCGTGAGGTGGCGCGGCTAGCAGCGTGGTGGAATGCTGCAGCGCGCACTGTATGGCGCGCTCCGGACACTACGGCAGCTGCTAGGTTCGAATAGACGGCAGAATGGATGGCGGTGCGACTGGCATGGAGCCAAGAGAAGATATGTGGGAGGACCTCGTGAACAAGCATGTATGGGATCTGAAATCAAACCAGAAGTTATGTTATGAGTGCGCGGTACTGAAATGCACTCGATTCGAAACTACCGAGTACTACCGAAGACTACTGAGGCGCTGTTCTGTAGGCGTTAAATTTCCAGAAACTGGGTCCGCAGAATCTTCGTAGATAAGTGGCATTCTGCCTATCAAGGTTTGGTGATAAGAGAGGTCCTGCCAAACCTGTTCGCGCCAAATTTAACGCACTCGCCTGCAGAACACCACTTTTAGGGCGCACAAATAAAACCGTCTGCAGGTTCGAAGTTGTTGCTTCGCCGGGCAAATGGCCTCACAAGTTGTGCGGTGCTGATTCTACCTCGGGGGCTAGCGTCAGCCTCCGCACAAGTTATGCGGGGCAGCAATTTCCGTGCAACGTAACCAGCGTGAATGCGCCAAGAAATTACACAGAAGGCCACGGCGGTCGAATTGGTGCGCCGCCAAACGCCTGCAGAACAACGCCTGAATGGAAGATTAACGAGGCTCATGAAGCCAGAATCGAGCCAGGCGAGCCAACACAGATTAGTGAGGTTCAGATGGGTGGTGAAAGGTTCTGTAGCAAATCGGAGGTGGTTTGGGGCGAAAATGAAGGCCGAAGCAGAATGGAGCCTCCATGAATGATCGTCTGTACCAGGGCCCATATCAGGGTTTAGGCCTACCCTTAACCAGACCCCTAGGGTAAAAATTTTCGTACCCTGTTTGCAGCAGGGTAAATCAACCAGTAGCCTGATTTGAGGAGGGTAGTTTTAGGCTAAGCCTTTTTCGGTTTCTGTTTTGTGAGCTAAGTTATTTATAATTGACATAATAAAGTAGCACACACAAAGTCAATAAACTCTACAAGAGCAACACATTCACAACACACCTACTCAGTCTTAAGAGTTAGAGCAACGGAATGATGAGACTAGAGTCGAGAGAGATACAAAAGTAACCCTAAAACATTTGTACTCCCTAGTGTGCTACTCACAGTAGCCTAAGAACCTATAATAACATTTGACACACCCCCATAGGCTAAGTGAGGGGCATCAAAGCAAGCATGGTGAACAAACGGTTACAAGACCAGTCAATGCAAGAAGCAAACCCAGGGTGGATCTCAAGGACACCACACAAATTCCGAGCACAAGCAAGTGGCCACAAGGCCAGTTCAAGAGTTCACCAGGATATATAACAGCAAAACACACAAAAAACAGAGGAAGGAACAAGTCTACAGCAACCTAGGACCAGCCTCAACAAGCCCCAACTGCACACAGAACCGGTGGTGATCACCAGGCGCCAAGGCCTTGGTGAAGAGGTCAGCAGTGTTGGCCTCTGAGGGCACAAAGTCCAGCCGAACCTGGCCGCGTCGCTGTAGCTCACGCAGGAGGAAGTACCGAACGTCGATGTGCTTCACCCTGGTCTCCAGTCGAGGCTCGCGACACTAGAGAATCATGGCCTTGTTGTCCGCTCACCAAGGTCAGCGAGCAAGAAGGTCAACCAGCGAAGCTCCTGAGCAGCCATAGCACCGGCGTAGATCTCTGCCTCCGCACTGGACGAAGCCACCGACGACGACCGCGTGGACCTCCACGACACAGCCCCAGCTCCCAGACTGAAACAGTAACCCTGGGTCGAGCGCTGAGTCTCCATGTCGTCAGCGTAAGAAGAGTCACAGAGGCCAGTCAGCTCAACTGGCCGAGTCCCACCAAGCACAAGCCCCATGCCTGATGTAGTCGCCAGGTACTTCGCCACCCTCACGGCAGCCGTCCAGTGAACGGGACGGTGCCTCCCAGGTCCAACAAAGCGAGAGAGGACGCTGAGAGGGAAGGCGAGGTCTGGGCGAGTACAAGTCATCAGGTACATGAGGCAGCCAACAAGCTCTGGGTAGGGACCACTCGGCTCAAAGGGCTCGTCGGAGAAGGGGCCGGTGAGTCCGTGGCCTACAGCAAGAGGAGTGGGCTGTGTGGTGGAGAACTGAAACCCGAACCGCCGAAGGACCTGCTGCACCATGTGTGACTGAGTCAGTGTGATGGTGCGAGCGGCTCTGTCCCTGGTGATCTGCAGGCCAAGGTAGCGCTGCAGCTCACCAAGATCAGTGCACGTGTGTCTCTTCTGCAGTTCGGACTTCACCTCCGCCAGTGCTGCCCTGTCAGCTGTAGCAAACACCAGGTCGTCGACGTAGACCAGGATAAAGAAGGGAGTGGAGCCGGCACGAACAAACAGTGACGGGTCAGCAGAAGAAGGTCGAAACCCTAAGTCACGAAGCGTGGAGCGAAGAGTGTCGTGCCACTCACGGGGCGACTGGCGGAGACTATAGACTGGTCGCCTCAGCCTCCACTGGGTCCCAGGAGGGAAAGTACCAGTGAAACCAGGAGGACGGCGCAGCCAGATCTCCTCGTGCAGTCGTCCCTGGAGAAAGGCAGTAGAGAAGTCGAGGGAGTGGAGCTCGTAGTCACGCTGTGCTGCTAGGTGTAGTAACACCCGAAGTGTAGTCATATTCGGGGTCGAAGCAAAGGTCTGAAAGAAGTCAACTCCCTCGCGCTGACTGAAGCCTCTCGCCACATAGCGCGCCTTGAACACCGGTGGTGATCCAGGCGGCCGCTTCACCTTGAAGAGCCACATGCCATCGACTACGTTCGCCCTGGGAGGGGGAACTGCGTCGACGTACGTGCCTGTGGATCTCCAAGACGCCAACTCTGAGTCCATGGCTGCCTTCCACTGAGAGGCCCACGGCCCTGACACTGCCTCACGGTACGTGCGAGGAGTCGGTATGTCAATGGCGTCGGGGTCTCCCTCAGAGGAAAGCAGCATGGCACAGAGAGTGGGAGAAGCGGCTGCCCGGTACTCCAGCTCAGAGTGCCTGTCCTCTAGGACGTCACAGCCAAGGGCAAACTCACCCCCGACGGACAGAGGACGGGTAGGCGGGGCGGGCACCACACGAGTGCAGTAGTCAAGGCGGCTGGCGGCGGCAAAGTCAGCGACAGCGGCAGTGAGAGCCGAGACAGACGACAGAGAGAAACGAGGGTCGGTGACAACTGTGGCTAGAACGCGGGAGACGACAGGGCGAACAACACGGTAGTAGTTGGAGATAGGAGTAGGGGAGACAGGAAGAGACGACGAAGGAGGAGACGGGAGAACGGATACCGAAGGAGGAGAACAACGAAGAGAAGTACAAAGGAGGGCAGTGTGGAGGTCAGTAACGGGGGACGCGGGACAAGCACTCGGGGGACACGGACGGGAATGGTAGTGACAGACAACAGGAGGAGGAGACTGCGACGGAGGGGAAGACCAGACCGTCGGACGGTCATCAGGAGGAGGAAACGTAGGACCAAACGCAGAGGGAGACTGAGAGAGGACAGGAGGAGAAGAGGGAAGACCAAGGGTCCGGAGGCCACTCATGGGCGGGAACAACTACCTCTCCAGAGGAAGCTGCTGCGGCTGCGGGGACGGCGGTGGCTGCTGCTGCTGCTGCTGCTGCTGCTGCTGTGGCGGCTGCTGCTGCTGCTGCTGCTGCTGCTCCTGCCGCTGCTGCTGCTGCTCTAGCAGGTCCAACTGCCGCAACTCCTGCCGCTCCCGCTCCAACCGCTCCTGCTCCTCGCGCGCACGTCGACAGGCCTTTTGGTAGCGCGTGTCGTGGTGGTGGGGAGGCGGAGTGCGCTCCGCAGACGTAGTGCCCCCAGCTCCAGTCTCCTCAGAACTAGAACCCCCAGTACCAGTGTCCACAGAGGGGGTGCCACCAGGGTCAGAGTCCCCAGCCTCAGCACCCCCTGCCCGAGCACCCCCAGGGCCAGGACCCCCAGCTCCAGCACCCCCGAAACTAGCACCTCCAGCGCCAGCACCTCCAGCTCCAGCACCCCCAGAACTAGCACCTCCAGTGCCAGCACCTCCAGCTCCAGCACCCCCGGAACTGACACCTCCAGTGCCAGGACCTCCAGCTCCAGCACCCCTCGACCGAGCACCGCCAGCGGCCGCACCTCCAGCTCCAACACCAACCGAGTCCACAGTAACCTGTCTCGGAAGTACCGAAGCGGCTAAGGGGACTGTGAGCAGGGCTGCGGGGAGGGAGACGCTACCTGACGCGCGACAGAGGGTAGAGGGGTAGCGTGTGACACACCTGATGGGGCAGGACCAGGGGGGGATGGGGGTACCGGAGGAGCAGGAGCAGGGGGAAGAGAGGGTGCGAGGAAGAGGGGGGGAGGGGGAACCGGGAGACCTCTACAGGGGTAGCGAGCGTAGTAGGACACGGACTTGTCGAAACGAACGTCACGGGAGTCTAGGAACTGGTGGAGGGGCGGGTGGTAGAAGGACCAGTCGGCCGAGTCTACCGGGAAACCAAGGAAGACACAGGGAATGGCGCGTGCCGAGAGCTTGTCCGCAGAGGTGTCGCGGACTAGCGCAAGGCAGCCCCAGACTCGAAAGGCCGACCCAACACCAGGGGACCCGGTCCAAAGACTGGTCGGTGAAGCCTCCGGCCGCGAGACGCGTGGCTGGAGGTTCAGCTGGTGCGCGGCGTAGCGAACCGCGTA